ATTGTACTGAGTTAATTTGGAGGTTTTATTAAAGATATCTGTTATTTTATAGTATTAGGTATTGAACCCAGAGCCTCACACATGCTAGGCAAGTACTCTACCACTGAACTACACCCCAAGATCTTTTGTTTTTATTTTGAGACAGGGACTGCCTAAATTGCTCAAGCAAGCCTCAAACTTGTAACTCTCCTACCTCAGCCTCTGGAGTAGCAGGGATATTTGTTGTGGCTCTCCAACAAGGATTCTGCATAGAAAAATAAATGGGTGGTGAATTCTATTTCATCTTAGAAATCTCTGATCAAAAGGTAATATATGGGACTGGGGTTGTGGCTCAGCAATAGAGTACTTGCCTAGCATGTGCAAGGCCCTGAGTTCGATCTTCAGCACCACATAAAAATAAATAAATAAAACAAAGGTATTGTATTCAACTACAACTAAAAAATTAAAAAAAGTTAATGTAGCATATTATTTTCAACTTAGAACTTTTCAAATTAAAAGAAAACTTGAGCCAGCCATAGTGAAGTCCCAGCTTCTTGGGATGCTGAGGCAGCAGGATCTAAAGTCTGAGTCCAGATTGGGCAATTGAGTGAAACTCTAAAATAAAAAAAATAATAAAAATAAAATGGCCGGTAATGCAGTTCAGCAGTAGAGCATTTGCCTTGCATGCACAAAGCCCTGGATCCAGTCCCCAGGACTTAAAAGGAAAGAAAGAACACAAGAGAATCCAAAAAATTTGCTTACTTGAGATGGACAAAAAATGTCAAGTATGTTAAAAATTATTTCAAGTGTTTTTATTTAAACATGTAGACAACTTACATTAACTCTAAGATGGTGCCTGCAGTCTGCAGTGAAATCGCACCTGGAGCCATCCTCAGCAATGACTTAAGAATCCAAAAACATCATGATCTCAAGGTGCTACCAGATGTCCAGTCAGATGACACAGGTCACAAGGTTCTTTTAGGATTGCATTTTGGAAATAAAGGAAGCCTACAGCAAAGGACTTCATCATCAGCTGGAAAAATCACTTCAGTGTTTTGCCATGGCTTGGCAATAGCAGTAGCTTCCATATAATGGCAAGTGTGTGGTTGTAAAGCAATGCTATCTGTTCTAAGACAGAAGGTTCATGGGCATCATCCAAGACCTGATGGTTATAACTGGTCCCCAGGCAGACATCCTGGGAAGACAATAACCCCATAAGATCCCTCTAAGGAACCAGTACCTGGTGCGGCGAAGATGGCTGGACATGGCCTCTTGGCAACATAAGAAATATGGTAGGGCAGAGACAAACCATTGAAACCAAAGCCATCCTGAATCAAAACTCCCAGCCCACAGTTGAACTGTAGACTCATGGGCCATATTTAAGCCTCAGCTCAAACATTTATATTGTTATATCATGTGTATGTACAAATATGTAACAACAAATCCAATCCCTGTATAATATACCAATAAAAAATGTGGAAAGACAAATAATAATAATAATAATAATAATAATAATATATATATAAAAATGTTTACAGGGATAAAATCACTGTAAAAATAATAAAGACTAATAAAATCACTGAGTCTTTGGGCGATTGATATGAAGTGATAACTGATACAGACACACTGATGAAAACCATTTTACAATACTTGATGCTTGCTAAGCACTGTGATAAGTGTCAGGTCCTTGCAGACCGTTTCTCATTTCATCTTCACATCCCTATTTATTTGATGCCAGGTACTGAGCTTCATGTATGTCATAAAATGCAATCCCTATACTTACAAAAAAAATGTGTTGTCAGGTTTTGAGGCTCATTCAAGAGGGAATCTGGGTCTCTCTGTTCTCCAGTTTATAAGGGCAGTCTAACTGCATTGTCTGTAGCATATGCTATTCAGTACCAATTTGGGACCTACCCTCCAGCCCCATCACTATAATCCCTGCTCCACAATGACCTCCGGGACTCTGTTGTGGTTTCCATTTTTAGTAGAACCAACCCTCTGCTATATCTGCACAAGTACACAGCTACCCAGTAAAGCGGGGCTCCAGTTCCTCAATGACCTAATCAGAAAAGCCAGCCCGGAAGGAAACAGCGGCCACTGCAAACATGAACCCAGATGGACACCATGAGGGAACCTATTGCTATCTCTTTCTGCTGGCCATCTGATAACACCCCTTTCTTTTTTTTTAACTGATTTTATTTTTTTAAATACACAACAGTGGAATGCACTACAATTCTTATTACACAGATAGAGCACAATTTTTCATATCTTTGTATATAAAGTATGTTCAAGCCAATTCATATCTTTATATATGTACTTTGGTTTTTTTGCATTATAATTCTTATTACACATATTTACCACAATTTTTCATATCTATGTTTGTATATAAAGTAGGTTGACACCCAATTCATGTCTTCATACATGTATTTTGGATAATGATGTCCATCACATTCCACCATCCTTGCTAACCCCCTGCCTCCTCCCTATCCCTCCCTCCTCTCTTCCTTATCTAGAATTCATCTATTCTTCCCATGGGGTACACTATGAATCAGTCTCCTATATCAGAGAAAACATTTGGCATTTGCTTTTGGAGGATGGGCTAACTTCACTTATCTTCTCTAACTCCATTCATTTACCTGCAAATGCCATGATTTTATTCTCTTTTATTGCTATTCAATCCCTGGTACCAAAAAAAAATGATAAATGAATGTTATGTATATTTAACACAGTAAGTGAAAAAAATTTAAATACGAAAAATATCATTACTTTTCAGGAAATGTGAGTAATTTTAAAAATATTATTATTAAAAGTAAAAGTAAGTCACTCAAATCAGAAATTAGAAGACCCATGTGGACTAAAACCAGTGACCATCCCCCACAGTCTAAAATTTTGATCTCCAATTCCCTAATTGTAGTACAACCTTCTACTCCTGTGGAGGAAAAAATTAAACTTTTTGGAACCAGTATGCTTCATTATTTAACTAAATTTTACAACTATCACAGACCTTACAAATTCAGGATTCCTATTTGTTTAAGTGAAGGCCAGTTCTCACTGAACTATCCACCATAACCATAGAGTTATTAAGTAAGTCTTGTGTATAATATAATATACAAAACCCCAAAAGTATCTTTATTTCAACAAGCTAAGGATGCCATACTATGAAAATGCAAAATTATGACTTACATATATTTATATCTTATATATATTTTCAAAATATGGACTATGATTTAATAGGGTCAGGTAAGTTAATGTACACCTATCTTCCCAGGGCTTCTTCTCCATTAAACCACTTTTTTGTGTGTATGGTGCTGGGGGTTGAACCAGGGCTTTGTGCACGTGAGGCAAGCATTCTACCAAATGAGCTATATCCCCAGCCCTTCCATTAAACCTCTTAATTAAGTTTTTTGTTCTCTAGCTTTATAGTCTCAAGAGACTATAAAGCTAGAGAACAAAAATAACAAATTACTTTGACTTCAGGAGAAGTCAAAATAATTACTATTACACTTGACATATTCTCAAACCTTCAAAGTGACGAACAAAAGGGTAGCTTAGCAAGTATGCAGTTCACCTGGTTAATGGAGAAGTAAAGCAGAATAATTTGGACTACAAAAATGAATGACGTGGCCTGATCATTCAGTTGGGATGGAGATTATATATATAATATATATGTAACATATATATATAAATAATATATATAATATATAAATAATATAATATATATATAAATTATATATATATATATATATATATATATATATATATATATATATAAATAATACACACACACACACACACACCTTGACTTGATTTATTTTTTTCATTTTGTACACCATTTCAGGTTAGGCAGGATATTCCCAAAGAATCAGGAGGACTTATTTAGGTAAGGTAGGACCAGATACCCTAAATTATATTTATATCTGAAAAATGTCATGGCCTTGGAGATTTCTTTTAAATGTGTTTTAAAGTCTGTTTTAATAGAATCATAACAACTAATGTAATATCTAGTCTGGACTGGACCCTGGACCAGAGTTTTGGCAAGGAAAACTATAAAAGATATTACTGAGACTGACAAAATATGGTATATAGATAAGAGTGTTGCACCAATGTTAATATCCTGATTTTGACAATTATACTCTAGTCATATAAGTGGCTGTCCTTACTCTTAGAACATACACACTAAAGAATTTGAGTAAAAAAACAAGAGACACATCTTTCTTTCAAATCAGTAACTTACTCTCAAATAGTTCAGAAATATATATGTGTATATATATTTGTATAAATATATTTGCATACAGACGTGTGTGTGCATATATATGCATCACAAGAAAATATTAAAGTACAGCAAAATAATTCAATTAGGGAATATTACTAATGGATATGGTAGTTATTTGGACTATACTAACTTTTCTGTAAAGTAGGAAATAATTGCACAGCAAAAATTTATCATGGGCTGGTAGAGCACTTGCCTAGTACACGTGAGGCCTTGGGTTCGACCTCCAGCACTACATTAAAAAAAAAAAAAAAAACCTCCCTCATCTACTTAGCAAAATCCTATTGATTTTATTTGTCCCCATGACAGCATTCATATGAGATGCCTCACAGCTAGCTCCCTGCCTCTGTTTCAATTCAGATCTCACCATCTCACAGGTGGCCCATAGCACTAAATAAACAAAATAAAGGTATTGTGTACATCTACAACTAAAATTTTTTTATTACTAAAAAAAGTGCTGATATAATAAGTTACTTGAAGTGAGCCTATAATCTAAAACAAAACCAAATTAAAATGGCATTAGAACTTGCAATTCTCTATTAATTTCAATACTGGTGGCATTAGTAACCAGGAAAACACTATTTGAGTTTTATCTGATTATAAAATCACTGAGTTAGGTTAGAAGGGAACTAAGAGACCAAACAACTCAAACACACATTTGTGTTTCCTGGTATGACATTATCAGAAATTAAATCATACTTAAAGTAAGCAGTGTATGAATCATGAATCAAGTTCAGAGAGGACATTATACCTTAAACTGCTGTTGATCTCCACCCAGCCCAGTTTCCATGACACATGGAGCAGAAGTCCACCAATGAATGTCTGCCACCTGCAAAGGATAAGTGCAGATGTGAATTAATACAGGCTCTGGCCTCGAACAATCCAACCCTGGCAGATCTGTTGACAGACACAGAGAGACACAATTCAACTCCTCTTATAACTCTTCTCCCACTCTCCCAGCCACTCTCCATCACTCAGACCTTTCGATCTCCATCTCTGCTATGCCCTTGGGTGCAACTGTACATAAGTATTGCATGCATGCTTTTTCTCTTCTTATTCTAAATTTTTCCTGAACTATCTCACCCATTGCCACTGCCTCAGTACAGATGACTCCCAAATCCCAGTTCTCACCCAGATACTGCCACCCTAAAAATCCCACAAACTCCCAGTTAGACCATGCCTAAAACATCACCTTGGACTTTCCCTCCCTACCCCAATCATCCTCTTACTGTCCCTACACAGCCAACCTGGATGTCATCCCAGCCCTTACCTCCCTCATCTACTTGGCAAAATCCCATTGATTTTATTTGTCCCCATGACAGCGTTCACATGAGATGCCTCACAGCTGGCTCCCCACCTCTGTTTCAATTCAGATCTCACCATCTCACAGGTGGCCCATAGCACTAGTCCCCTACTGGGTCCCCTTGTCCTCAGGGCTGTCCTCCAAAGCCTTCTCTACCATGCATTCTTTAGCTTGCAGCCAAAGCATTTATTCTAAACTGAAATTTAATTGTGACTCTTGGGTCATTTTAAAAATGGTTGACTCAGCCCAGTTTTGCTGCCGTGGCATGCTTGAGGTCATGAAGCTCATATGAAACACACTGCCCTCAACAGCAAAGGTATAGGACAGCACAGGTTAAAAACACCCTTCTCTCTCTTACTGTAGAAAGAACATCAAAATGGTAAGTGAGAAAAATTCTATAGGCAAAACTGTTCTGTCTTACTCAAGTCACTTTTTTATTTTAGGTAGTTCAACTGTACATTTTTTTTTAATTTAGTTGCAGATGGACACAATACCTTCATTTTGTTTATTTTTATGTGGTGCTGAGAATCAAACCCAGTGCTTCACAAGTGCAAGGCAAGCGCTCTACCATTGAGCCACAACCTCAGCCCCTCATCTGTACATTTTTAAACTGTTTTTAGTTATAAATGCCCTGAGACACCTCACCTCAAGATATGATTCCACTAAAGCTCAGCATAATATTCTCCAATTCCATCCATTTACCTGCAGATGCCATAATTTTATTCTCTTTGAATGCTGAGTAATATTCCATTGTGTATATACCACAGTTTCTTTATCCATCTATCTATTGATGAGCATCTAGGTTGGTTCCACAGTTTTGCTATCATGAATTCAGCTGCTATAAACATTGATGTGGCTATGTTGGTCTACATGACAGTCACTATTTTTTTGGTACTGGGTATTGAACTGAGGGGCACCTAACCACAACCACAACCCCACAACCCCAGCCCCAGTTCTCTCATCTTAAAGTGGGAAAAATAGTTTAATTTCCTCTTAATTTTGTTGAGATAATTAGCTGGAGGAAAAAAATTGTTTTCTTGGTACCAGCAATTGAACCCAGGGATGCTTAACCACTGAGCCACATACCCAGCACCCCCTTTAAAAATATTTTTATATTTTATTTAGAGACAGGGTCTCACTAAGTTGCTTAGAGCCTTGCTAAGTTGCTGAGGCTGGTTTTGAACTTGCGATCCTCCTGCCTCATCCTTCCACACTCTGGGATTACAGGAGGACAAAATCACTTATGTGTGACACAAAAATCCTCTGGACTGGTGTCCACTCCCTGCAGGATCAGCTCTGTCTGAAGACCCTGGGATGCCACATTCCAATCATACTGAATGGCCTGCAGCCTCAGGATATCTAGGAGTCTGCAGGACTGTCCATTTGCCCATGATGCTCTTGTCCTTTTCTTGTGTACTGATGAACCCCTGCTCAGTGACAACAACCAGTCTACACAACTCCTTTGTGATGCTTCACTGGCCCAGCCAAGCAGAACATGTGTCATGCCCTGAAGGAGTTTGGGATAAAGCAGTGGTCTTAACCAGGTGATTTCTTCCTTCAGAGGACATCTGGCAGTATCTGGAGATACATTTTTAGTTGTCACAGCTGGGGGTGGGAGAGAGTAGGTTTGCTACCAGCATTTAGTAGGTAGAAGTCAGTGATGTTGCTAAACATCCTACCTACAATGTGCAGGGCAGCCCACAGCAAAGAATTTCCCAACTCAAAATGTCGATTCTGGAATGTCATCCTGAGGTCAGGCTAGCAGGAAGGAAGGCAATTAACCAATAATTACAAAAAACTGTGGTGAAACCCTAACAGGAAGAGGACCAGGTATCACAAGCCATCCCAGCAAGGACAACTTATCTAGTCTGGTGAACTAGGAAAGACTTCCTAGAAGAAGCAGCAAGTTTAAGCAAAAACGTGACACACATTCAAAGCAGAAGACCCACAAGAGACAAAAGCCCAAAGGGAAGAAAGATAATGGATCCTTCAAAGCTTCTGGGAGAAGTTCAACTGGTCTGGACCTTAGCATTTGAGCAATTGGGGAGGGGAAAACGCTTGAGAGAAGGGGCTGCTCCTGAAGGGCCATGTCGGCTGCCACAAGGAGTTAGGACTTCAAGCTCGGTCCCAAGGAAGGATTTTAAACATGGGAAGGTCAATGTCATATTTATATTTTGGAAAGTTCCAACTCTTTACGAGAAGAGTATGTTTTTGAGAGAAGAAAGGCTAGGGGCAAGGAACCAAGTTAGGAGATGTTATAGCAATTTGAGAGATGACAGTGGCCTAGGAAGGGACAATATGGATGAAGAAGGTAGACAGATTCTAAAGCTATTTAAGAGGTCCTGGTGATTAACTAGATATTAAGGATAGAGGAAACAAAGGAATGAAAATGAACTCCCAGGTTTCTGAGCTGGATAGCCAGACAGAAGGTACGTACCATTCACTGCAGGTAAATTTAAGGAACAGAAAGGAGAGACGAGAAGTTCCACAAAGGCAGGGATCTTTGTTTTCTTCACTAATCTACCTCAGGTGTTTAGGACAGTGCCTGGCACAGAGTATTCACCAAGAAATATCTGTAGAATAAGCTGCCCTATGATGCTCCTTCTCTGCACCAAACATGTCCCAGAACTAGGGATACTCCAAAGACAAGGGGTAAAACACAACCCCAAGATTTGCAGAGCTGACATTCTGTCAGGGAAGTGCACTCAGTCAGACCAGGGGGGAAAGCAATCTAGGTGAAAACATTGTCCTTGAGTTCTCCCTCCCAGGAGAGACAAGAAAGGACAATCAGGGGCAGGAAATGCTTCCTATTCACTCAGAGAGAACAGTATCTCAGCTTTCTTGATTGAAACATGCATAATCACAAGTATTTTAAAACTTTGCTCTTAAAATATTAGGGAAGAATTTGACAAAGGAATTCAAAAGTTCACCTGAAACAACATATTAGTGATAATACAAAGAACATCTTTAAAAGGGCAGAATGAGGATGACTTGCTCTACTGTGTAGTTAAGTGGTAATAATAATTTAAATAATAATTTAAATAATTCAGCACTAGTCCTTTCCATAAAAAATTGAAAAGTAAGTACCTGAAAAGAGATCCTAGAAGAACAACTTTCTGTATGATGTTAACAACTCAAAGATAAAAAGAAGAATCACACAATAAATGAGGATAGTATAATTTACTACTGGAGGAGGGATGATTTCCTCATATTGTACCATATATTTAAAAAAAAAAACTGGGGCTGGGGTTGTAGCTCAGTGGCAGAGCGCTTGCCTGGCATGGGTGAGGCACTGGGATCAATTCTCAGCACCATATAAATAAATAAAATAAAGGTCCATCAACAACTAATAAAAATATTTTTAAAAAACTGATGATGACTAAAAATTGGATAAAGCTTTAATGAAATATAGATGAATATCTATGATGTTGTGATAAGGAAGAATAAACACAAAAGCAATGGAAGTAATCACAAAAGAAATAATTAATATATTTGCACACATAAAACTTTCAAGTAATCTAAATAATTTATAAGTAAAGGACAGAACAAATTGCAAAAAAAAATATTTCCAATAAACATGATGGACAAGTGATAGCATCCTTAAAATACAATAAATGCATTAAATTAACAAACCTCAGTGAAAATAAGTGAGTAGAAGACACAAATAGGGGCTGGGGTTGTGGCTCAGTGGTGGTGCACTTGCCTAGCACGTGTGAGGCCCTGGGTTCAATCCTCAGCACCACATAAAAATAAACAAATAAAATAAAGGTATTGGGTCCAATTACAACTAAAAAATAAATATTTTTTAAAAATTGTAAAACCCATTCTTAAAAAAAAAAAACAAAACAGGGGGCTGTTAAAAAAAGACACAAGTAGACAATTCACTGAAAAAAAATGTAGATAGTAAACAAAATAAAACTGTCCAACTTTATTAATAATTAAGAAATTATAAAATTTACACAGGCCTGGTTGCAAGATAAACTAGTAAAGCATTTTTGGAAAATAATTAATCAATATTCAAAAAGAATACTAAAAGAATTCATAACATGAAAATAACATGAAAGATCATGAGTTCTTTCAGAAATCAAATTTCTTACATAGAAATCTAGCCCCAAGAAATAGTTGGAAATTTGGCAGATTTGAATTTTTAAAATCTGACAAAGTTATTTTTAGGTACCCCAAATGGGACACAATTTAAATGCCCACTAATAAAGTATCTAAGTAAATTACTATGTGTCTACTTGATGATGAACCTAGGTAGTCATTAAAACTACTTCAAAGAACGTTTAATGATGTTGATTGAACTTTTCTTATAAATGTGTATAAATAGCAAAAAAGATACTCACCCTTGGAATAATGTAGGGTAAGTAAATTTCAGGACAGACAGGACATACTGAAAAAACAAATACCAGATTAATCAACATTTTAAATGATAGAGAAGTGATAGAGCAAATAATCAAAGAAATTCCTACTGAAGAAATATAAGTACACTCAAGTTTCAAAAAGACATTTATTTCCCAAAAAAATCCTATACTGGGCAAACAAATGGTCTTCCAAGTCATATTAAAGAGAATGAATTTTTTAAAAACCACTCAGGTCTATTTGTTTTTCTATTATGTATTTTAACTAGATTTATAGTAGTTTATGATGGAAGAATAGAAGAATTGTTTTGTCCATCTGGATATCTTTTTCTATTCTTTTTTCTATTATGAACATATTAAGAATTTTCTAAAGGCCTAAAACCACTTAACGTCTACTAATTCTTCACATGATCAAAAACATGGAGTAAGTTGGGACTGGGCAAGTTTGCATATATATTTTTCCCAGGGATCAGTCCCCATCAAGTTCCCCTTTTTTGAGCTCCTAAATGCCACAACTATGGCTGTCTGTGTTGTAGTCTTCTTTTACAATTCTTTGTTATTTACAATAATTCGATATTACTTTGACCTGATATTACTTTGATCTGATTTTTTTTTTCCTAAAATGGAGAAAGGGGAAGCTTTAAGGGAGCACCTGGTCATGTCCTGTAACACCCTTGACCTTCATTATGATATCAAATGTTTACTCAATATTGTGTGCTTAGTTAGGGGAGATCTAAAATATTGAAGCCCAGGGCTGGTATACCTCAGAGGTGGTGCACTTGCCTGGGTTTGAGCCCCAGCATTGCAAAATAAAGAACTAAAATAAAATGCTGAAGCCCTTGCCTCACCTTGCTAAAACAAATCTACGACTAATGCAATATTAGTCCTAAAAAGGTCTCCTTTCAGTGATTCCTCATGTCACTCAGAGCAAAATGCCATTAGGCAGAAGAGCAACTCCTTATAATGATGTTCTGGGAAAAAACAGAAGTGGACTTTGCCTTCAGGCTGAAGGCTCAATAGCTGTGACAGGTGGCTTCCAGAGCCCAGGATACTGCTGGGACCTCCCACCGGAAGAGGAACATGTCATAAGGTCAGCCAGCCCAGGCCACCAAACCCATAAACAATCATAACTAATAATGAAATAGAAATATTATAACAGTGTTATGCTGTAATAAAAGTTAAAACTTATAAACCATTTATTTCTGAGATTTTCCAAGTAATGTTTTCTGACTGTGTTTGTGGATAACAGACGCTGCAGAAAATGAAATCATGGATAGACAAGGACATAGCACTTGGTCCAAGCCAATCCACTCAGTCTGGGTAGCAGGAAGGGAGTCCAATCTGGCTTCTAAGATTCATAAAGTTTCTTCCCAGAGTTCCGTTCTGAACAACGTCAACCCTGGCCATTCACTCTAGAGCACACCTCCTCCGCCGTTCTTAAAATCCTGTCTTCCCTTCTTTCTTGTCTTCTATTGTTATTGTCCTAATTTCTCCTTCTTATCTCTGACACTTTCCAACATCCCCAAGCCAGAGCATTCTTAAATTTTGAGGGCCAGCTGGGTATGGTGGTACACACCTGTAATCCCAGCAGCTCAGGAGGCTGAGGCAGGAGGATCTTGAGTTCAAAGCCAGCCTCAGCAACTTAGCAAGGCCCTAATAACTTAGTCCCTATCTCTAAAGAAAAAAGAAAAAAGGGCTGGAATGTGGCTCAGTGGTTAAGTGTACTTGTATTCACTCCCCAGTACCAAAAATTAAAATAAAAAATAAATTCTGAGGGCCCTTGGGAATCTATGATTTCTATTACTCAGATTATTATTCATGGAGACATGAGACTTGGTTTAATTTTACCTAATACCTTATGCACATGGAAGGTATATTCAGTCTTCCTTATATTATTAAATGGTATGGTACTCCAATAAGTAAAAAAATAATACCTCAAATGCAAATGTACATTCAGGGGTATTAATTTCTATGAACTAAAAACTATTTGTCCACTGAGCTTGGAGTGGGGATGCTAAGGTAAATAATCCCCTTACTCCCAATCAATGCTATAGCTGTGGGCTTTCATGAAGGACATACTCTGCCCCTTCTGGTAATTATGGGAAATAGAAAGAAGGTCATTTTGTTTTAAAGTAAAATATTATCAATATATCCATCATGTTAGCTAGACAAATTAGAAGAGTTCAAATAAAAGGTCACATATTCCTTTTTCTTGTGTACAGGGATTGAACTCAGAAGCACTTTTACCACTGAGCCACATTGCCAGCCCTTTCTAATTTTTTATTTTTATTTATTTATTTATTTATTTTAGTTGTTGATGGACCTTTATTTTATTCATTTATTTATATGTGGTGCTAAGAATTGAACCCAGTGCCTCACACATGTGAGGCAAGCACTCTACCACTGAGTCACAACCCCAGGCCCCTAATTTTTCATTTTGAGACAGGGTCTCACTAAGTTGCTAGGAGTCTGGCTATGTTGCTGAGGAGGCTGGCCTTGAACTTGCAATCCACCTGCCTCAGTTTCTGGGATTATAGGCATATGCCACCAGGGAGGCTACAAATTCACATATGCCTGAGGAGGTACTACTAAAAGAAAAGAAAAAAAAAACTTTAGCTACTTGCCCCATGAGGATCAAATAAGTCTGTCAAAATCTAATAATTACAGTGTCACACCATAAACAAAAGATAGTCTTTCCTTCCTCCCTTTCTTTTCCTCAAGAGTAACTTCCACTTGTCTTATGGAGCATTTATCATGAGGGTGGTCACTAGACCAAACACCTTACAAACAAACATCATTTTTTTTTTATTCTTGGTACTGAGGATTGAACCTAAAGGGGTTTAATCCTGAGCCACCCCCCAGCCACTCCCCCACCCCCAACCCCGCCTTTTTGAAACAGGATCTCAGTAAGTTGCTTAGACCTTACTAAGTTGCTGAGGCTAGCTTTGAACTTGCAATACACCTGCCTTGACCTCCCAAGCCACTAGGATTACAAGCATGTGCCATTATGCCCAGCACAAACATCATTTTCAATAATTCTCACAATAACCCTCTCCAGAGGACTCTATCCCATCTCAATTAAAAAAAAAAAAAACCAAAACAACTTATGGTAGGGGATGGGGGTATAGCTCAGTTGATTGAGCACTTGTCTAACATGCTCAAGGCCATGCTCTATCTCCAGAACCACTAAAAACAAACAAAACAACAACAACAACAACAAAACTTAGCTTTACAAAGAAACCAGGTAAGAGAAAAATCAGGATATACATCCACCTCCTGCCAAGCTCCATTATGAATCTTCAAAAGCTTAGCTCCATAACTAAAAATCAGCTGGAGAGGGAAAGGGGTTAGGGTTATCCTATATTGAATATATTGAAGGCAGCTAAAAGACAAAGCATAAGGAAATGTTTTTTGATGGTTCTTTTCCAGAAAGCAAAGCTATTGGAGTAAGGGATATGCAGGGAGAGAGCAGTAGAGATGCCACAAAAGGCACAGCGGTCCTCACCTTCATGGGCACTTTGGCTCAGGCCACCCAGAGTCCAGGCCAGATGCCCTAGCCGTGCCCATAGGTCCAGCATTTCCCTGCATGGTACCAAACCCAACTTAGCTTTCCCCTCCTACCCAAACAAAAACCAGAACAAGATAACAGTGCTTCTCTGCCTCATCAAACGGATTTATGATATTATTTTAAACGTAAGTTTTATATAAAAAAATCCCACAAAAATCCTTTGAATATACTGGAAGTGCTTTGGGCTACAGAAAAAAAAAAATAGGTCTGAGGATCAGAGGGGCTAGAGGGAGATGGATTAATCTCTTCCATTTAAAAGGCTTATCGAACTCTGGGTTTCTGGGGAAAAGAACGCCTCTGGGGTGGGAAACAGGATGCGTCTGACTTCTTCTCCAACTTTTCCTTCCCCGAGGGAACTGAAGTAATTGCTTTCTTTCGCTTAAAAGTAGTGCTTGCAACCCAAAATTAAGTTCCCGGGAAATGGACAGTCAAAAAAATCCTGTTTCCCAGGAGATCCGGATGTTTCAGAACAGGAGGACCCTGGGATCCCAAGAAATCCTACTTCCAGAAGAGGATCCCACACAGACTGGGTTTCATCAAAAAGATGACAAGCCGGAGGCTGCACTCCTCCCACGGACGGGGATCCGGCTCAAATCCCACGTTCGATCACGCCTCCCGCGCCGCCCCCTCACCTTGTTCATTAGGTAAGAAGCCAGGTAGCAGGTACAAAAGGTGAGCCCGATTAGGGACCCCCGCGAGCTCATCTGTCAACTCGCTCCCTTTTCGGGGGGAGAGGCAGTGCCCAGCCGCCCTCCAGAGCCCCCAATCAGTGCCAGGGAGACTCCACCCGGCACGGCCACGTGGCTCTGAGCTCCGCCAATCAGCGCGGGGACCGCCCCGTGGCGCCTGCCTCCTTAAAGGGGCCGCGCCAGCCAGAGTCCCGGCGGCGTCGCGGTGGGCGGGGCGTCGACGTGAATGAAAGGGAGGGGAACCAAAGTCCTTCTTGGCCGCGCTAGCTACGAAAAGGTCTGATGACAGTCTTTGGGAGTGGGGAAAAGTAAAATAAGGCAGTTTACAACAATTCCCAACACCTGATTACCGTTTTAAGAAAACTATTTATGCTTTACTGAATTTTCCCAAATTTTTATTTTTTGACATCGAGTCCGTTTATCTTGGCAAATGGCACAAGAAAGACTAACAAGAAATGTTAAAAGCAGGAAGGCCGGGTTGGGATGTAGCTCAGTGGCAAAACGTCTGTCTCACATTCCCAAAGCCCTGGGTTCAACCCCTATTTCCAAAAAAAGACCAAAAAATAAATAAAAACCAGAAGGAAAGTTGATTAAAAAAAAAACTAGAATAGTCGTAATTTTGTTTTCCTTTATGAGAAGTCATTCCATTATATTGAAATTTCTCTAAAACAAGAAATATTTCCCAAAGTAAATTTCAAGCACAGTTCGTAATTCTAGGACAAAGATTAACTTAACCAGGTTCTGACTTATAGTAGTAAACATGCAAGAAAACGTGTTGGTGAACTTGGTGGATAGCAAGCAATGCTAATGTTCTTCAAATGTAAAAACAGATTTTTAGAAACATTTCATGAACAGGGAAATCTTTACTCTTAAGGCATAGCACAAATTTACATTGGAGCAGTGGCTGGGAAAGGTCGAGCCAAGTCTTGGGTAACCTTTATGTTTTTCTGAGGCATGCCCCATTCCTCCCTGCTCTCTCTAACACTGATAGAGGGCTGAACTTGGCTTATCCCCTTGAAGTCACATGACAGGATCAGGATTGTCTCTCTGTTAATATTTTTCTCTGGTCTCTTCCTGGGTCTTCTGGTTGGCCATGGGAGGGAATCAGTACAGAGGTGGAAGTTGGCCTGATTTACCTTCCTGCCCTCACCTTCCTTCATCTTCAAAGCATTTGGCCAAGTCATATGGGAGTATGTAACTTTCTTGACCCAAATACTCAAAGTATTCAAAGGGGGGAATTACAGAGTAGGGAGAAATGAGAGAAAGTTCTGAATGTACTGTTTTATTTTGCACAGAAATGAAATCATATGAGCAGTTGACACTCCACTAGGAGGGCTCTCCACAAGGCTGTATTTACTTTCCACCCAAAAGTTTGGCCCACAAGTTTGTATCTCCCTCTCCAAAACACCAACCTTTAATGATGATTTTTTAAAAGACTTTTATATAGAGAACAGTCAAGCTCACTGATAATCCTAGTTATGTAGGAGGCTAAGGCAGGAGGATTTGAAGTTCAGGACCAGTCTGAGCAACATAGCAAGACACCATCTCAAAATATATACATGTGTAACAAGATCTTTAAAATGGAAATGAAGAAAAGAAAAATCAATCACTTCTCTGTGTTCCTCTAATCCATGCTAAACCTTTCCAACCAATACCACTCTTTTTACCACTACCCAAGTAACTAATATGAACAGGTTCATTGTTCAACATATACTCATTTATAAGTTGTTGCCTTACAAAAATAGATCTAACTATATACATTGCAGTATGAGTTTTTGTTTTCCTACATCATGGCCCACACAGGAAATGATAGCATTTCTTCAGAACTTCAAGATGAATTGCTGTTGCTCTATAATCATTTATGAGAACTATTTGATTACTTTGCTGGGCATAGTGGTGCATGCCTGTAATTCCAATGGCTCAGAAGCATCCTGAGTTCAAAGCTAGCCTCAGCAAAAGCAGGGTACTAAGCAACTCAGTGAGATCCTGTCTCTAAATAAAATACAAAATAGGGCTGGGGATGTGGCTCAGTGGTCGAGTGCTCCTGAGTTTAATTCCCAGTAACTTAAAAAAAAAAAAAAAAAAAAAAACTATAGCAATGGAGAGGCCTAAATTGCATTGCCAGAAAACTCTTGTCTTGGTAGAGTTCTTTGCTGTTTCTTATTGTTTGATTCACTATTGTTCAGGTTTTGTGCAGTGATGACTGAAAAGTTATGAATATGCCAATTCAGTTCCTATTTAAAATTGTTCATATTATATTAAGTTTAATCTCCTGTTTTGTTCTGTTATCAAGCAAATTGGTTAGTTCTAAGATATGATTGTAACAGTACTTAGTTGTTTAATTTCATTTTAAAGATCCAAGTATAAATAAACAGAATCTAAACCTGGATTCTTTTTTTTTTCATTTTTTTCCATATTTTTATTGGTGCACTACAGTTGTACATAATGGTAGGATTTGTTGTTACATATCCATACATGCACACAATATAACAATATAATTTGGCCAATATCATTCTCTAAAATTTCCTCTTTCCCTTCCCTCTTCCCTCTCCTTGGTCCCTCTCCTTTACAGTTCTCCCTTCAATTTTCACGAGATTTCCTCCCTTACACAAGCATACCTTTATTTTCCTTTTTCCTCTCTAGTTTCAACATATGAGAAAAAAACACGTGACACTTGATCTGCTGAGTTTGATTTATTGTACTTAACATAATGATCTCAAGTTCAATCCATTTTTATGCAAATTACATAATTTCATTCTTCTTTATGGTCCACTGTGTGTATATACCATTACATATATACATGTAATGTATACGTGGTATATACATTTCTGAATGTATATACATTTCTGTATCCATTTATTTGTTGATGGATACCTAGGCAGGTTCATAGTTTGGCTATTATGAATTGTGCTGCTATAAACTTGGATATGCATATACTACTATAGTATGATGACTTTAATTCTTTAGGATAAATACTAAGAAGTGGTATAGCTGGGTCATATGATGGTTTCACACCTAGTCTTTTGAGGAACCTCCATACTGATTTGCATAGTGTTTGTACTAATTTACAATCCCACATGTAAAAGTTGAACTTAGTTTCTGATCAGGGGCCGCAATCAATGCCAGCGTAGTGTTTATAAACACATGCCATGGAAGATTATTGTTTCCTGTCATGTCTATAAATTCTAATCACTTCAAAACAGAGAAAAAGTTGAAAAGAAGTTGAGAGAATTTATTAGTTCAGATATTTTTTGTAAGTAACAGAACATATAACTCATACTGGCTTTAAAAGAAAACATTGGTTCACATAATTAAAAAATTGAGAGGTGGATCATGCTTCATATATATTGATTCAGTTAGTGAATAATGCCACTAGAGACTGAGGTATCACTGAGAACTTGAGTGACCATGGCTTCTAATATACCCAAACAGTTCTGATTTATGTTTTTGTACTAGCATGATTATTACAAGTGTCCTGGTTTGGATGATAAATTATATGGTCACTGACCAAGAACCCAGTTTTTTTCTTGTTCTCTGTTCTGCTGTCCAGGATGTGACAAGTCCTCATGTGATTATTGCTGCCAACAGTAACCAGGGTTGATGGTGCCCTCATTTCTCTTCTCCATTCAACAAACAATCCTGTGCTTCTTTAAAATCAGACCATCTCTCAGGACAAATGCCCACCCTGAAATAACCACTATGTCTCAGCCAAACTGATGCATTGACTTCTTTAAGTCTTAGATTACAATTTATGAAATCATTTAAAGATTATATTGTCAATAAATAAAGACCTAGTTACTTTCAGTCCCTAAATAAAACTACTTACCACACTCTATTATCCAAACACCAAATATATTGTTTTTATATTAAAGATAAAAACTAGGAAGTTACTTTAGGCCTCATTATTTCTTAGTTATCGCTTAATTTGTTTTCTTTAATCAAGTTTGCTTAGCAAGCAGTAACAACCAAAACAGTAAAGTAATCATGCACATAGAAATTGACATTAGCAACAAAAGCATTGATAGACCTTGCCAGAGTTGTTGATTTTTCTAAAGCTGTATTATTCTGTTCCACAAAATAAACAGAACTAAGTCAATGAAAACAAAATCTGTGGGTTTTACATTTATTGATATAAGCTACTGTAGATGAGATTGGGGTAACCTTCTATGCTTTTGAAATGTATTAACTATTTGCATTTTTGAGATCTTTGAGACCAAAGATAATGTTATTATTTCTTGATAATGTATTCACAAATGTTAAATAGATGTTGTTGCATGATAAAAATGGGGAAGCTTGTATAAAACAATGCTTTGTTTTTTCCGCCAAAATATTTTTAATAATGAATCTTTAGGACAGTACACATACAGAATTATTGACAGATGGTAGATACAGTAATATACTTTTTAAAACTACAGAAATCCCCTTAAAAAGAGTCAGAAGGGGTGGGGTTGTGGCTTAGTGGTAGAGTGCTTGCCTAGCATGAGTGAGGCACTGGGTTCGATTCTCAGCACCACATATAAATAAATAAATTAAAGGTGCATTGACAACTAAAAAAATATTGAAAAAGCAGAATATCAATATCCCTTATGAAATAGATGCAAAAATCCTTAACAAAACATTACTAAAAGGAATCCAGCAAAATTAAAAAGGAGTATGCACCTTTGACTAACTGGGATTTATCCTACAAGGTTGATTTAATGACCAACTAATATAATGCATCATATCAACAGAATAAAAGACAAAACATATTATCATTTCAGTAGACACAGATAAAGCATTTGACAAAATCCAACATTCCTTTGTGTTAAAAAAAAAAAAAAGCCAGGGAACTTCCTCAAAATGATGAGAGGCATCTATGAAAAACCCACAGCTAACATGTAACTTAAATGGTAAAGGGCAGCACTTTCCTCTCTAAAATTAAGAACAAAACAAGAATGACTACTCTGTCCCTTCTACTCAATATTGTATCAGTGGTTCTAGCCAGGATAATAAGACAAAATAAGAGGCACTCCCATTTCAAGAGAAGAAATCTGCCTGTTATATTTTAACAATATCAAGATGTTAAGATGTCTATTACATAAGACAAGATTTTG